AAGGTTGTTTCTTTTACAAGAATTTTTTCAAGTACTTTGGACAGTGTGTAGGTCAGGCTGATGGGTCTATAATTGGACTGGTCGTTTTTGTCACCACTTTTGTACATTGGTATCACTATAACTTTTTTCCAGATCTCTGGTATGGTACCATTGTCTATTGAATCTTGGTATATTTGGGCTAATAAGGGTGCTAGAGACAGCAGATGTCTTTAGAAATATAGATGGTATCCCATCTGGGCCTGGACTTGAATAGGTTTTTAGGCTACTTAGAGCTGTGGTGACTTTTTCTGTTGTAATGTTAATGACAGTGAGTTGATTATTGTTCATTGTCTCTATGGGCAGAGTTGGCATGTTTGTAAGGTCTTCTCTGGTGTAGACGGAATGAAATTGGTTTGCAAAAGTATTTGCGGTGGTCTTTGAGTCTTTTATAAGGTTATTACTTATTGGATCTCGTAAGATTAAATCATGAACCTGGCTGCTTAGATTGCACTTGATATAAGTATAGAAGTGTTTGTCATTTTGTTCCAGGAGATTTTCTTCATAGCTTTTCCTTGCTTCAGAGATTAATTTTTTTAGTTTGTTATTTTGTATTTTGTATCTGTCCCATGTGAGAATGCACTCTCAAATTTTTAATATCTCTGCTGGTTCTCGATATAGTCCATTGAAACATCGAAAATGGGCCACCCTGTACAGTCGTGAGCATTAAAAGTGGGACACCCGACTAACAGGTCTTGTCATTTTTCTCTATTTTGGGTAAATCAGTCTTTTCTGTACTACACATTTTTTGTCAAATATGACAATATCTGTCATTGCCGACGGTGTAGCTGGTGAGCCCGTTTTACAATAGGAAAAATCGGGTTTCTCATTTTTAATGTTCACGACTGTACCTCAGATCAAATTTGGAGCAAATTTAATGATTTGTATTTGTATTTGTATTTGATCTATAACTTTTTTAAGAAGAAATTTTTAAAAAAGTTGATCTTTTTCGAGATATATAAACGCATTCCTGACCTTTTGACCCTCCGTAACGGCCCAAATAATCACCGAATCCATGGAAAACTTTCACCAATTATTTAGACCCATAACTACAACGTGTACGCAAAAATTCACCGTTAGGTCCCTCTAATTTAGAGGTCAAAATCTGGAATGATCTGGAGCATAGGGCTTACCACCCTTCGCGCTCTATCTCAAGAACGGTTCATTTTATATAAAAAAGTTCCAAACAAAAGTGCTTAGGAATTTTATTACATATCTCTAATTTTTGTAATAGGTGTAAATATCGTTGGAGCTATAGGAACCGAGAGAATTGCAAAAAAATGTTTCCTGTGACCTTTGACCTGCACTAACTAAAGAATCTACATTTATTGTGGCTTTTAGGATGACTATTAGAACGTCAAAATGAAGGTGTATACCAATTTTCAGCTTCTTACCAATTGATAGGTGGACCCCTATTTTATGCCTAATTAACTGCACTATAAGTATATTTTTACTTGAAAATGTAATTCAAAGAATGATATTTGTCTGTTCAAGTGTGGATATATTAATCGCTTGTTAAGCCTTTGTTAGTTAACAAATACCTTAGAAAGTGTCAATGTTCATATGACACTAAAATTGTGTAGCCCATTCTTATGTCACTAACAAAAACTTATCTAACATCTAACGATGGATATAGTGGTCTTAAGTACAGTTAGATCAATGGTTTTTTAAGTCCTTGTTAGCCAACAATAACCAATAACCTTAAATTGTGCCACAAAAAAACAATACCATATTGACATTGGTAGAATTTAATTTCAAAATTAAATACACATGATGAAAAAACTGAAAAAAAGGAAACAAAGAGACTCCTGTGTTGCCCTACGTGAATCGGTATTGATTTTTCCATGTAGTAAGAGTAAAAAAGCATGACATTTTACTGGAAACTGGGACAATTCTAAAAATAAAAACATCATTTGCTCAAAATAAGTCTTCAATTTAGGGGAAAGTGGCACTGTTGAGTATAAGAGGATCAAGGTCTATGTAAAGTAACTTTTTGGCCTTGCTCAAATCCATAATTTAATCTGCAAGAACAGAATTACAAATTGCCTACATTATTTTCTATAGGTATTACAAATTCTATCAAGTGTCAGTATTCAATAAAATCCTATTCTATTTGACTATTTACAATTTTCATTTATCCCAGACGAATCTTCTCAAAGTTAGTGATAAATTCGGAACACAAACACAAGATGGGATTAAAAATGTGCAAAATTAGAATATACTTAATTCCTGTCTAAACCAGCAATTTGATCACGCCTACGCTGTAGGAATTTATCTTGGAATTTATAGACTTAAACAAAAAAATTATTAGCACAAAGTGTTAAAAAAAATGGCGTCAATGGCTTTAACAAACATGTACGGAGGTCAGGCAAACATACAAAGCCTAATTTGTTTTGTGACGGTGTGACGAGGCATGATTAGGATTGTGGATTTGGGTATTAGATAATAATAATTATTAATGTCAGAGAAGCACTGGGTGTGGGTATTATTAGCTTTAGCCCAAAATAGAATTATCAATAACAGTGGCAAGCGGTGTTAATTGATTTTGCTTAATTGGAAAACATCATTTGGAAACACTTTTAAAGCTGATATTTGCTGGAAGAGCAAAGTCGGCAGAATCGAAAACCATGGAACATTAAAGGCTGATTAAATGCCCTAAGGAGAAAGTTTAGGCTCAGCGAATTTTCGCGAAAATAGCTGTTCTGTTAGGTTAGATATTTCAGGCTCCGCAAACATGAACAAAAAAGTGGCACAGACATTGACGGCTCCAGCAGTACAACATTCGTAAATTTCAGGCTCAATTACTTTTTTGTGAAAATGCAAAAAGTCGCCACATGTTGGTGAGATTGGTCCAAGGCGGAAAAACCTCTCAGACAGTAAAAATCAGTGTTCCGATATTACAGTTGTTGTGAATACATCAAATCTAATTAAATGTCCTAATAAGGAATTTACAAAATTACTTTTCTGCTAGCTTTAACTTCAGCTAGCCAAACATGAGAGAAAAAGTGGCTAAAACAATGAAAATTGCAATTTCACTTGCACAGACACTCACACAGACATTAAAGGCTACAGAAATAGGTACACTAGTCGCAAATTTCAAACACAATAATTACTTTTTTCATTTAGTAAAGTTTGGAAGTGTCTGATTAAAATTGCAAACTAACCCATTACCATCTATGTTTTGATTTTCCTATTAATAAAGAATGTCTTCAACTTTCACTATGAATAATGCTAACACCTTCACATTAAATGAAATAAGGATGATGAGGCATTCTCAGCCACTTTATCAAAGGCAGAAACATAAAATTATTTTAAGATGTTGTGTTGCTTCACGGAAAAATACCTTTATTTTAACTTTTAAGTGCAAATCCCACGAAAATCCAACTCTTTTTTATTTTCCTATTATCTCACTGTCAATCACTATCATTATCAATGTTTTTACCTCATTTTATTTTCGATTTAGGTCTTTCCTCCGTGAGATCCAATTATTAATCTTCAACGTAAAAGACACAAAAGGAAGTCATTTTCAGCCTCTCAAAACTCCCTGGTTAGTTGGTAAATTAGGGACGACCATTTTCCCCAGAGGCATAAAAACTCGCATAGAAAGGAGAATCTGGGAAATTATTAATAAAGCTCGGGAGGGGGTGCCTTTGATGCAAATTACTTCATGGCAAGCGGGTCTTACCTATCAGGATCATGTTGCAGGTTGTTTAATGATTCGATAAGATCAGATTTAATCCATGGGTATATTGTATGTTTGGGAAGAGGTATTGTAGCTGTTCTAAAATTAAAATTGAGCAAATGGCATTTTTAATTACATTCTATGTACCACAAAAAAAATATTCTCATGCAAAATAGGAAGTCCCTAGCCAAGAAAACTGTATTTTCATTAAAATGGCCTGGAAGGGCCGATCGATACCACCCAGTCGAGACAGCCGCTTTTAGTTCTCCCTTTCCTCTCTCCATTTCGTCTCCTTGTAGTGCCAAGAGATTATCCAGCAAAAAAAAGGTTTAATGGAGCACCATACGAATTTACAATTTGAACAAAAGCAACAAATTTTTATAAGAAACTCTTCAACCTTTATTATGAAAAATGTTAACTTACAACACTGTCATTCCTCTTTTACTATCATGCCAAAATCCTTAGTTTTATTAACTAAATTACGTCATTTCCTAAAAATACAATTATGGGCTTGTATTTGTGTAGTATCGCTAGAAGCAGTAAAATTTGCCTGTTTTGTTTATCAATGACAAAATGTTCTCCCATTAAAATTCCAGTAGCGCGCGCGCCTACCATAAATTTGTGTCTGTATTATTCAGTGCAAAGGAATTTGTCACCCTTTTAGACTTATTTCCAAATAATTCCTCCCCCTCTGAATCGATAGCTTTCAACCTTTATGGTTTTGGATTACCCTACAGTGAATTACCCTAGAAATTGCCACTTAGAAGTGGGAAAGAATTTTTTTAGTTGATTAATGGAAGATAATTAAATTTTTATTATTTTTTTAAATAATCTATTAACCCAAAATAGTAACTGAGTGGTTTATGCTGCGTTTGCATGTTCAAGTACTTAAGTAAATTAATAAATGAACAAAGGAAAACCAGCGCATTTGATAGGTATATAGTATATTGTCAGAAATTGCATTTGGATCAAAATTTTTTGTTGTTTAGAACATTTTCATCTAGCTACTGTAACCAAAAAAAAAAAATGTGACCAAAGCAAGGACAAGATAGATTACTTGAGAAAAAGAACTGTGAAAATTCATCAAGGAAATTTATTTAGGAGAGTTTCTACAATACATAAGAATTAATCTGATGATAACTCTGATGATAATGATGTTTTTAAGGTAATTTGCGACTGAACCTAAGCTGTCGACACATTTAACTGAATAATTGTATCCATTTTCAACTAATTGTAGCTAATCGTACAAAAATTTAAAATCGATGTTTATTTACTTTTTCAGAAATGGTCGAAGCCATGAAAAAGGTGGCCAAGCTGGACTTGGAATTGACCGTAGAGGAACGCAACCTGTTGTCAGTGGCGTACAAAAACGTCATTGGAGCTCGGCGCGCCTCCTGGAGGATAATCTCTTCAATTGAACAGAAAGAAGAATCTAAAGGGGCCGATGACAAATTGGAGATGATTAGACAGTACAGGCAACAGGTGAGATTCCTAATGCTATCGGCCTATGCCTATCAGATTTGTAACTTCAATGCTTCATTATGTTTAAGTTTGTTCTTTTTTTTTTTTTTCAAAAAAGAAAAGAATAGGAATAATAATAGAAAAAATAGTGTGTTGACATTAATGTGACAGTTTTATACTAACTTTGGCTCACTTGAAGTTGTGTCATAAATCATCTTCTTATTTGCTCCTTGTCTTTTAGGTTGAAAAGGAACTTAGAGACATATGCTCCGATATTCTTAACGTTTTGGACAAACATTTAATCCCTTCCGCTTCAACAGGAGAGAGCAAAGTATTTTATTATAAAATGAAGGTGAGTTTTACCCATTTTAAACCTCTAATTTTTTAGAAACAATTTATGAATATATTATTGCAAGTGTATTAGTCTAGATTCAAGCCAACATATAGACATACTACATGTCATCTTTACAGTTACAAAAATACAGAGAAGATGAAGGTACTGGCTTCATGAGGTCACTTGCATTTCATCAGTAAATTAATGAGATGATAGAAGATATGATGTAACTGTCTACCATAATTGAACAAATAATACATTTAAAGTCTGGACCATTTCGAAGCAGTCATTGTAAAAAAAAGTCCATAAATTAATATAAAGCCAAAAACCCATTTAAAAAAAAAATTAGTCATAACATCTGGTACTCTGTATTTTAGTAGCTTTGGGGATGGCATTAATTAAATTGTAAATGTGGTTTGGATGAAAACATGACATTCTAGAAAGCTTTTATTTTTAATCTATATTTCGCAAATCAATTAATTACTAATTTCCATGATGATGTTTTTTTGAGGTAATTTGCGACTGAAACTCTTATGTCGACAACTCTTAGCTGAAAATATTGATTATTTAAGCATCAATCATGGGTCTATTATTTTCCTGTTTCGTTTCAAACAAATGGTTGTTTTAGGGTGATTATCATAGATACTTAGCTGAATTCGCCACCGGTACCGATCGAAAAGACGCAGCCGAACACTCGTTGGTAGCTTACAAGAGCGCCAGCGACATTGCAACCACAGAACTACCTCCCACACATCCCATAAGGCTGGGTCTGGCCCTCAATTTCAGTGTATTTTACTATGAAATCCTCAACAGTCCGGACAGGGCGTGTCGACTGGCCAAAGCTGCATTTGACGACGCCATCGCCGAACTAGACACACTCAGTGAAGAGAGCTACAAAGACAGTACGTTAATCATGCAGCTGCTCAGGGATAACTTAACGTTATGGACCAGCGATATGCAAGGGGATGGTGAAGGTAAGAACTGAAATCAAAATCGAATTGAAAAGTTTTTATATCGAATAATACAAGATTATTTGTTGATAGAGCTAAGCTTAATTTAACAACAGATTAGAATAGTCCAGGCGGCAAGTACTTTCTGCTGGAAAGTATTCCGAAGTTGATGATATTTTGTGTCATTTGTGGTTAGTCTGTGGGGTAAAATCTAATTTTCGACCTCGAGGACCCTGTGCTAGCTTGGAGAGAGTCGAAAAACCACGAAATTTTTGGACTTTTCCAGTTTTTTGCTTATATGTATTTTTTAAACTTGAAGAACATTAAATTTCCTTCCAGTTTCACAGTCAAACGTATTATTTAACGCAATGGCAACCGAGATACAGTGGTTCAAAGATACAGTAAAATTATCAACTTGTCAAAAATTTCTTCTGGTCAACTACAATTCAAACCAAGCATGCGATAAACATATTTTATCCTCATCTCTTACACGTGAACCCACAGACGATATATGTCTACTGTGCACCTGAATTATTTTCCACGTTAACTGAAACTAAAAGCTCAAAATTTTCGGACTTTTCCAGTTTTTTGCATATAACTTCTCCAGATAGTTGAAGAACTTCAAACTTCACTGGCCACAAGTATTCGATCCAATAGTTACTGAGATATAGTGGTTCAAAAATTCAAGTATGTAATTTCTTAGATTATCGAAAATAGCATAGAAATGCAGGTTTTTGCCCTATAACTTGAATTTTGCAAACTTCTGAAAACATGTAAATTTCTAGTCATAATTTGCACCTTATTCTTCATTCAGGATATATTACAAATCATAACCTTAAAAATAAACGTCAGGCGTCTGTGCTTCTCAACCTCTTTGGTCCAGATGGCACGTCTTCTTCAGTGTCACCATTGTCTTTTTCCTTCCGAGCTATAGCTTCGTCGAAGAGGTTGGCCTGTTCTTCACACTCAGCGTCAGTGTCTTCATTGAAGTCTGTTTTTGGTGAATTTTCACATGCGGTTCCTACGCAATTCTTGCAGATGGCAGAGCACCGGAGTCCGGTTTTTTTGCAGCTGCAGGCCCCCGTGCTAGATCCTGTAGTACATTTGCAGCGAATGATTTTTAGGATGGGGTCTGGAGCAGCATCCATAGTCGTAGTAATGGGGATCACACCTGTAGATATTCAAACCAAATAAATAAATAAATATGTATATTTTGAGAAAATCTATTATAATAAATATATGATATCAAGCTATTAATAATATATATATATATATATCGTATATACCAATCTCGATTGGTCAGGCTCTAGCCCCAAGCGGACGGTAACTTTTGTGGGCTTCCTTCCATTCTCAGCCATGTTTGTACTGGCAGGTATGTCCTATAAAAGTGGTACTTGGCGGCATATCTTGTAGGTGGTAATCTGGCAAGTTGAAATTTCGTGTTTGCCGAAACGTTTGATGAGAATGCTCGGTACCGCAGATCCTCAAAATTATTTGCGTCTGAGTGACCACTGTACAATTTCACTAGGAACTTCTCTCCAGCTTCAGTAATTTGGTGTGGTCTTGCGTCAGGATCTTTGAAAACACCAACTATTCCGCCAAGAATTTTTTTTATAAACTTGCATTACCTTCTTTTTTCCAATTCTGAAGAGTGCTGAAGTGGTGTCACATCCACTTACTCCATGATGAAAAAGAATATCCCAAATGTTGACTTTGCAGGAATGGGATAACTGGAAATAAATGTTCTTTTTAGATGCTTTCAGTAAAACCAGAATATGGATGTCTTCTCCTGCTATGATGACACTATCAAAGTGGGCAGATTTTGATGTAGCAGTTACCACTATCATAACATCGGCATCTTCTGTTGCCGGCTTCGCCTGAATTCCCTTGGATTCCATTTCAGTAATCAGCATTGTGATGAAGTTTTTCTTGTTGGAGGAAATTTTTTCTTGTGAAATGGTAGGAACAGGTGTTTTGGAAAACACAAACTTTGACGATGAGTGCAGCAAACGTCGATATCGTTCTACTGTTTTGGTGCTTTAGTAACTTATGCCAACAAGATACCCATCAAAATCCACTATAACATAATCCACATAATTCTGGCATATTATTTCAAATGTCGTATCTCTTGATTTGCTCCACAAAACCTTATGTAGCAGGTACCCACCATCAATAACTGCGCATTTGGCTGCTGCCAAAGTCTACTGGCTCTTGTATAGGAGTGAATGCCGCATACAACATTGACTTTGTGCCCTTATGCACACCTCCCTCTGTGGAAAGAGACATCGGGAAGGGGACTAGCTCGTATTTCAACAAGTTTTTAAAGTCATCATCTGATTGTTTTATTATGCGAATCCGTTGAAAGAGAGTGAGAGGGTCTATTGTGAACTTTTTTTAATTTTCACACATCAGGAAACAACAGTATCTTTCCGCTTCAATTTCATGTCTTGAAAATTCCCTTCTTCCAAACATGTCTTCATAGTCAGCAATAGCTCCTGTGCTTATTGAGAATAGCTCTTTTGTATCTAGCAAAAGTCGATGGTCAGCCAACCAATCACTAAGTTTCTTGATGTCTATTTTATCCCTGCTAACACGAGAAGGCCTCATATCCACGTATTGCTCTGTAGTCTCTGAGCCTACTCCAACAGAGTCAGCCCGCCATAGCTCTTCATGGTTCGCATCAGAACCTGTTCTATGGTCATATATGACCAGATGCCTGGCCAGAATTTGTCGGTTCTGCGAATAGTGAAGTATCCCTTAAAATAAGATAAGATAATTTTTATTCAAGTAAAATAATCAACAAGTTATTTGCAAAATTACATCCCACGTAAACACCGTGCTCCATACAATTTATTTTATCTTTTCAATAGTAATATAACAAGTGCAATGGAAATTATCAATAATTTTTGGGGAATTTGCCCGAATGCATTTTTAGTTGAAAAAGAGCACGAGTGCATACTCGTGCCTTTTTCGATTGAAAATGCATGAGTGGAAATTCGTCAAAAATTAAAAATATATTTCCATTGCACAAGTTGTATTTTATGACAGAATTTCATGAATCAAAAATTAAATTTTTTTGTCAAAAAATGTCAAAACACCAGTTACTATGCAATTATCCGATAATTTGCACTAGTGCAAATTATCACGTAATTTGATTTGAACCAATCATATTGGTTCAAATTAACAATCAAAACATGTCAGTTTATTGTTGGTATATCAGTTTTGACAGATGTATGAAATTCTCGAATGTAATACCACAAAAGGTTTCAGGATTACGGGATAATACTTTTACCTGTTACGAAACGCGTTACGCAGCAACAACACGACTCCGAAGGAGGAGTGGTGTTGCTGGTAACGCGTTGAGTGTCAGGTAAAAGTATTGAGTAATCCTGAAACATCGAGTGATATTCAAAAGGTTATACAACGAACTAAACTTTAATACTTTAAAATTTAAAAAAAATTCTATAATAGAATTTGCTATAAATGCCACCAAGCGCGATAATCCCAAAAGGCTTATCACTTTTTAAGCCTCTCGTGTCATATGGGAATAATGTACAGGGTCTGTTCCTTATAATTAGTGCGGCTCCTACAACTTAAACAAAAGAAAATACAAAAAAAAGTTAAATACAAAAGTTGTAGGGTTTTATCTCTATTAACTTTCGTACAAAATGGGCAAATGACAGGTGCCAACTGTCATAATGACAGCACTTGCATCTTTTTAAATTGAACACCCTGTATATCTTTAGCTAGGATGATAGACTTTTTTCTTCTGATTTCAAACATACCATATACAGGGTGTCCTACGGTGGATGGCGTATTAGACGTTTATGGAGAACTAAAAAGCGGATCATTGTGAAAATTTGGCAACTGAGATAAACGACCATGATCTACACTTTAAAAATATTTTTGTTTATGCGGTGTTGCCGCTTCTACTCTAAACTAGTGACAACATCGCTATTTCAAATGGAACACCCTGTATATGATTGCATATTTGGATTCTACGTTAAATTCTGAGCAGATTTTATGTGATATACCCTATACCTAAGTTCAACTGTTTTGGAAATATTGACAGTTGAAAATTGACTTTTTGCAACTAATGCTAATAATACTTTTTTTAATAAGTAATAAGTATTTCCTTAATATTAGAATAATTACTTAAAAAGAAATTTCTTATATTCTTTATATAAAAATTTCTTGCAGTTAATCTTAAACCTATAAATATTATTAGTCACCTTCAAACTCCTTGATAACATATTGTAGATTTTAGGACCGAGGTATGCTACACTTCTTAGATCAATGTTATTAAAATTTAACGGAATTACAATGCATTTATCTTCCCCCGAGTTTCGTATTGATGGCTTATTATGTTTTGAAGATATTTATTTTGATGGATAAATGCAGCTACCGATACCATATACAATGTTCTTATATTACATATTTCATCCGAAAAAAGTACCTCTGTCTGTAGGATACAACCTATTTTTGCCATACATAATTTTTAATATATATTTCTGCGCAACATTTAATTTTTGGAGAGCATTATCATATAATCCTCCCCATACCAAAATTCCGTACCTAATCAAAGACTCAACAAGGGCTTTGTATATAACAGTTAACATTTGTCTGCTCAAAACCTGCTTAAGCGGGTAAAATTTACGAATTAATCCACGAATTCTATTTGATAGGTACTCAATATGTGGAAGCCACTTCAGAAACTGGTCAATTATTATACCAAGATACTTTGTATGGGAAACTTCCTCAATTTGTTGATTATTGACTGTAATATTTGAGAAAGTAGGTCGGTTAGCACTTGTTAGAGAAAACGCATCTGTTCCCGGTTTCTAATATCAATGATGAGGTATGCTCAATGCAATTTTAAAATGAAATAGCGCAAAAACAGCTCCTTGTTTGTTTTCTTCAAATTTAGAGATAATTTGAAACTTTCCAACCAATTTTTTGTAATCTTTAAACCCTGTATCATTTTATCTTCAACATCTTCCCAAGTATTGCCGTTAAAAAGCAGTACAGTATCATCGGCGTATGATATTATAGATCCATTAACATTTAAAGAAAGTAGACCATTAATGTATGTGACAAACAAAACTGGACCAAGCACTGTTCCTTGTGGCACTCCCATCTTGATGACCCTTTCACCACTCAAAATATTATTAATTTTTACTACTTGAGATCTCTCATGAAGGTAGCTTTGGAACAATTTCCACACCGTTCCCCTGACTCCATATTGCCATAAGACATCTAGGAGTTTATCATGGGAAACAGTGTCGAATGCCTTGGCCAGGTCAATGAAAATGGCAGTACATTTTTTACCATTGTTCAAATGGCTGGTAATCTCCGATGTTAGTTTATGCATAGCATCTTCAGTACTACATCCCTGCAAAAAACCGTACTGGTTTCCTGACAGTATATTGTTAATTCTGAAAAACTCAACAAGTCTGTCCTTAACACACTTTTCAAACAGTTTGGCAAAGCCACTCACCAAACTTATAGGCCTTATAGTTCTGTATGAATGATTTTGAACCGCTCTTATGAACAGGTGTGACAACTGATGCTTTATATTGGGAAGGCACAATTCCCGTTGCAAAATTTCTGTTAATTATGTGTAACAACGGTTTCAAAATTTCAATATGTGTTTGTTTTATTAATTTAGAACTTACTCTGTCCAAACCTGGAGCACTTGTACTCTTTAACGACGAGATATGTTTGATTAACTCATTTTCGCATATTGGTGAAAGAAACATAGAATTTTTTAAACTAAAATCTGTTTTAATTGAAAATTTAGGTTTTGGAATTGTTTCTGCCATTTTTTCACCAACATTAATAAAAGTGATTGGCTATGTCTAAATCATTTTTCAGTTCAATACCAGCATTATCAGTTATTTTAATATTATTTATCATTTGTATTTTCATACGTAACATCTTTGATTATTTCATATATTTTTTTGATGTTATTTTTATTGTTATTTATCTGAGTTTTGTAATATTCATTTTTTTGTTTATCAATCAGTTTATTCAATTGGTTTCGATATCTTTTGTATTCGTTTTCCAGATCATGATCATAATTTCACAGTAACTTTCTTTTTAGCTTATCTCGGTGCATAATGGAGGTGATTATTCCATTGGTTATCCATTTTTTTATTTTTTTATACTGTT